GTGTGGATATGCACTCAGAGTGACATCACAAACATATTTATTACTTGTTATTCATTTCCTTGTTTAGCTTACTCAAAATAAACAGGTCCCTTTCATTCCCTTTCAGTGACTGGGGTTCGATTCCTGCGTTATGAGTTTTGTGGTAATATTTTTACCACAGGTTTCATCGGGGTTAAACTTTTACACATGGACTTTGGGGTAGATAAGGACAAACTGATATATAGCTGCTATAATAATGTTAGCCTGCGTGGCAGGCTCAAGGAATAAAGAGAGCCTGCAACAATCTCAAGGAAATTTGGTATTTCGGGGCCGTGAGCGGACTCAAAAATCCTATTGGTTGCTATCATAACGTATGCCAAAATACGCATCAATCATTGTGGCGCAATGTTTATACACTATCAATAAAAGCGTATATTAGCGTAAAATTTTGAAAGAGTGCTGTGAATTTGGGTTTTAAACTAAAAACTGAACAGCTGGAAATCGTTGATATGTTTTGGCAGGTTTTCTCATAGGATATCTGCCTTGACAAGTCGAAGAGCATAGATACAAACCCATGCACGTGTTGATATTTCTCTAAATAATACTGTAGCTATACCCGATCAATTTGAAAATACTGATTTTGACAAATTATGTATCCTATTAAATACATGTCGCTTTATGTATTTATAAAACTTACTACTCGATCTACAAACGTTGCTTTTATCGGTTTTTATGAGTTTTACAGCAGACTACAAACTACAGTGCGATTTAGCTTGTATATTGTGATATATTTTTATAGTTTAAGAGTTTGTTATTGTCAATTTGTAAACGTTTATACTGTTCAGCCGTGAGCCGTTGCAATTTTTAAACATATATTCGCTCATAGCTGGTCATAATATGTATGATTTTGAAATTTATTGTAATGTTTGGACCTAAGATGATATTGTCTTCCTTTTGATATAAATATATTTTTGAGTTCCGTTCATTATTAAATACGTAAAAACAGTCTGTTGAGTAACGACATCTATACTGCTGTATCAAGTCAAAATGTTTTGTTCTAATGAATTGTATCACGTACTAATGTATCGAAATGTACCAAACCGACATCGCCGGTGTAAATTCTGTTTTATTTACTCCAAAAGTAATTTAAACTGCCAATTTTTTAAAAGTGTTTGAATTCTCGAGCCACTCTAAACGAACTACAAAGTAATAAATTAAAGTATATTTATAGTTGTTACTCACACTGCATCAGGCACACGGATTTCAGAAAATATGATTGGTTGGATTGGAAATGAATTATCATAGTAATTAGTGGGCGGTTATCAAATTTCCTTGAGATTGTTGCAGGCTCTCTTTATTCCTTGAGCCTGCCACGCAGGCTATAATAATGTTAACCTAGTTAATCTCATTTTATTAAAAAATAAAGGTAATTCTTACTTTTGGACCCCTAAAAGTGCTAGAGGCATCCATTGTTACTGAGAGAATGGCCGGATTAAAACTGCTAATCAGAACCATCCAGTATATTGCAAGAGCTGCTTACTCAATGAAATGTATCTACTCGTAGGAAAAAGAACATACAAAATTTAAAAAATTGTGTATTTCATTATTTTGTGAACCACTCATCTCAAAGATGGAAAAGGTCCTGAAAAAGCGTACGTGAGAAATGCGTAATACTTAGACAGTGAGGTACATTCTATTTTTGGTCGGTCATCTGTTGTGCGAAATCCAGTTTGGATTCAATTTGACCATTTTCTAAGTCCAGTTGCACCAGGCGCTGTTTGAAACACAACAAACTAGACCAAATGTCACAATTGAACTCACTTGGACTGAAAACAAATTGGTTCATTTCCTGGTGAACAATACCTCTAGAGATCTCCCTCTCGTAATAATATGAATTTTATGTAACATTTCAAATCTGACGTATGTGAACTTCACCACTTGTCCTTGCAAGGACTGGATATCTGGTAAAGACCAAATTGTCGGATTTCATATGACATCTGATACGAAAAAGTCACTGAGAAAAATAAAGTAATATAGTTGGTTATAATTTACTCTTGAAATATTAATGAGTTTGAGATTTACGGATAAAACTGTCTGGCGTCACATGATGTTATTGTTTTAAATTATTTAGTTATTACTATTGCCAGGTATATTTCACAGGACGAAAAGCTAACCTTAAGCTCATTTAAGCAGCACTTAATGGTTTAATCCCACTCAACAAGCAAATATATGTGTTAATTTAAAACCTTTGTCTTGCATTCGTCTATCTGGCTCAATCGCAAGCCGCACTGTATCTTGATTAGATTTCTTCGTTTGTTTCAGGTGATAGCGACAGAGCTGTATAGAAATGTTCTTCTTGCAATGTTGGTCGTATTTCTTGTAACATTTCTTATTATTGCCAACCCTCTCACTTCACTTCTGGTTTTCCTTTGCGTTGTGTTCACCGTGGTAAGTATGAAGGTCAACATAAGGGTAAGAATTGTGAAAACTGGGACTTCATTCAGTTTCAGAACTTATCAAAATCTCTTCCACGCACTTAGTGTAGTTTTAGATTCGTTCGAATTGGATGAAAATTGGGGAGAGGGATAGAAAATGTGTCAGTAGATATAGTGTTGCATATCTTTCGCGCATTTACTCATATCATTTCCCGAACTTTGATGATCCAACATAAAGCAATTATATTACTATATCTCCCACTGAATGAAATTGTCAAGTATTCTGAGATCAATATTTGACACTGTTAAAAGCATGAAGAAAATGCCATTTCAGAGATTCAAAACCTTTTCCTATAGGAGTTATCACACCTGTATAGTTCTAGAACTTGATCTACCTTATTTCTTCAGGTTAACGTTGCAGGTCTAATGTACTACTGGAATTTGACTATTGATGTGGTATCAACCATTGTGTTGGTTATTGGTGTTGGTTTATCGGTTGACTATGCTTCGCATGTTGGTCATTCTTTCTTGGTTCAAACGGGAAACTCCACCGGTAACATTGATAAATTTCTTTGTTTAATAATTTTCACCACATTTCTCAGTGTTTAATTACTATTTTCCAATTGGGTTAAATTTTCAAAATGAGGTCGATTAAGCAGCTCTACGAGTAAAATTATCTTGCGCTAGCCAAAGTATTAACAGAAATGTTAAGTTTTCTCTCCGGTAAACGCCAACGATTTTATTCAACAAAAAACATTCTTGCACTGTGCATGAATAAGGAGTTTACGCATGTTAGATGGACGGCGACGTCAGAAAATTACCTGCCAAGGCTTGAAATGCTAGCGTATTTCTATATACGTGACATGAAAATATGCGTTTTGCCGTTGTCAACCAAGTTTGGACGACGTCTAAAACCCCTGCTAGACTTTTAATTATTTATTTATTTTGTACGTACTTGTAGCGCTCTTACATGCGTTAATTCCCTAATTGAAAAATTAGTAAGATTTGATTGTACTTATTTCAAAAGACCTCAAGCATTTTCTTTGGATGCAAATTGAGATATTTGTTTTAAGAAGTTTAATTGTGATTTTACTTCTTAGAAAGAACAACAAAGGCATTGAGATATATTGGTCCTGCGGTATGGAATGGTGGATTTAGTACTTTTCTCGCTATCGTGCTCTTGCCATCATCTGAATCTTATATCTTCATCACTTTCTTTAAGGTAAGATTTTAAAAAGCCGACATTGTAAAATTTGAGTACTTGTAAAGTTACATCAGTTATTATCCAAAAAATATCAATTTCGTTTCGCGAGCATGATCAAATGGGCGCCTACATGTTCAAATTTGTTTCCAATGGGCCAATCGGAACAGACGTTCGCGTTGTTCTTACCTATCTGGCTTTTGCAAAACGTAGTCACTCTCTTCCAAGACTTCAACTGGTATTATCTAAGGTTATCATTGAGTGTCATTAGCTCTTTTTGTAGCGGATCGGCTATATAAATGTGGAGGTTTTAAAGATTTTATGTCTTGGCATGCGAGACTCTTCTTTTTAGCCTCATGTGACACTTCTTTTTTAGCTTCTATTTTCAGTACCTTAAACATTTTTTATGTAAATATTTTATGCTCTACATCTTACAGGTGTTATCTGGGGTCGTAATATTTGGGCTTTTCCATGGCCTCGCATTTCTGCCTATCATACTGTCCATCCTCTGTCCTTCACCGTATAAATCTGCTATGGAGAGCACGAGTACTTGGCAGGAGACTAAGGCTGGAACACGTCATACTGCTAAAGTGACGTCATTACAAGTAAAGCCAAGTGAAACGATGAATGAAGATATTAATTCAAACAACAATGAATGATTGCATGAAAATTGAATATTAATCATTTTAATATTTATTACAAAAATAATATCTTAAATTATGCGTCGAAAGGGTAATTTATTTCACTTACACGTTTAGAAGCCAGCGGAACAGTGCGGTTGCCAGAATGATTTGGGGAAACGCTGTGTACTATGGAACAATATACAATGACAAATAGACCACTGATTAGCGAAACAACATGAAGTAAACCGTTGTTTGTATAGCTACTGCCGGGCATTCTATTGGTTTAACAATTAGTGAATTACTTTAAACTACAATCAGTGATAAAATACGTGGACACGTTAGGCTGTTATTAGAATGTTGTTAGACTAAAATTGACATTTTATTTGAAATTAGAATCGTGTTGCATTGCGTTGCTGAATGCTGATACCTCTCTCAGCACACACAACAATATTGAGATGAGGGGAGGGAGGTTTTACATATTATTTTTTTCAATTGTTTACAAAAATATAACCTTCCAATCTAGCTGTCCCACCTTCCAATGTCACTGTTTGCAGCTTCACATGATTACAGAATCTTTAATTAATTGCATATTACACCCGTTTTCAAAATTACGCGACCAAAGACGAAAATGCTACAGTTGACATGTCAGTTTTATGTCATTCGATCACGAAGTTCAAATTTTGAGTTTTGCGGTTCCTTGTCGATGTATATGCTTTGTATGCTTTATACAAACAGACTTACAATGATTTTCAAGATATTTTAGTGAGAATTATTGTAAAATTTAAGCACGACAAAATCATAACATCACCGTTATAGTCTAGCGCGCGTGTTTTATACTGACAGCTATATTCCAGGATAAATTGTTATTTTTCAAACTTTAAAAGTCATTCACGGCACATATTTATGTTGCGATGGTTTGTATTGTGCTTTAGTTTGTATATCTAAGTTATCTGACTCATTTTTGTTCAGTTTTGGTATTAAATACGGTTTAAAATGTCTTTAGACAGTTTGTTTACGTTTGCTATTTTTAGCAGTTCTTGTGACATATAACTGACATTTGAAGTAGGAGTATTTTTCAGGGAGGTCGCGTAATTTTGAAAACGGGTGTAAAGGCATCGAAGTTTCATGTAAGAACACAATGGGTTGTTCCAGAAAAAATCTACCCTGCCGCCATGCACGGAGGAAATTTCTGCCGTCCGGAAGGGGCGGGGAAAAAAATTTGTTTCTGGATAATATTAAGTGTATTAGCACATCGCAAGGGGGGTAGGGGGTTAACTTCCAATTTCCTTAGTGCGAGAGGTATGGATGTTTTTTGGTAAGACCCAATGTTATTTTATCCTTAAAAAAAAATCATGATATTTAATTGAAATAATGTTTTAATCCATGGCCACCGCAAACCTGCATCACTTTTCTCTTATTCTATGTAGACACATGAAATATCTACCTTTCAGCAATCGTCACGACGAATAGATTCGTAAAAAGAGCTTCTCCCTCTTTGTCTGCACTTTAGTTTCATCCCACAGAACATGCCAAAATTTTCTTCGTTTAGCGGATCACTAGAATGAACGAACTGCTTTAATGAAGCACTGTGAGTACAGGACTTGCATTCTACTGCTTCTTGGTTCTGGCTCGCATTTTTCTCTAATCTCCGATTTACGTTGTTGAATAACTGCAATACTTTTTATCGGTGCAAAATTGAATACTTATCGTATGTGCGAAAATGTCCTAATATACTTCCACAGAGAAAATGTCCAGGAGTACATTTTGTGACATTAATTAACACACCCACTTTTTCTCTCCCATGTTAACTTTTGCGCATGTTTTCACTGTTTCATGTCCAATGGTTAAGGTTTGTCTTACGTAATAGCCAGGCGAAAGCTTCGTTTGCCGTTGGTCTTCTAGTCAACGTTCTCTTTGTCTGAAGGCCGATTTTTACTTCAACCGTATCGTACCGAAACGTATTAGTAAGCATGCGTAGATTGAAAATAGGTTGATAAATTCACGTACTTCCGGGTGTATTCGCGTATCAAAATGATACAACTTTTTGGGGTACCAATCAACATTTACTAAATTTTGAAATTTTGAAACTTTTTTTGTACGCTTTGTGCGGTACGCTGTGAGTGGAAAACAGCTTTAAATCTAAGAGATATGAAATTCCTGAATTTAATCAAGTCTCAGAGACTCACATGCGAAAATTTTCTGTTCTCACTTTTCCAGTTCATGGCATCTTACCTCCCATTTTCCTGATGCGTCCCGTTGACGAAATTTAGAAAATGACTGCAAGGTCACTCAGTATAGTATAGTTAAGGTTGGCCATACTTAGGGAAAAAATAAAGATTTTAATCGAGGCTTAGGCCTGTTTCATGCGTCGAATTTTGGTTGCGGCGAATGCAATTAAGACAATAGATAATGAGATGATAAACTTCATTAACCTTCATTATTTATTGTTTAAATTGCATTCGACGCGACTACAATTCGACGTATAAAACAGGCCTTAGTTTCTCATTTTATGTACTTTAACACTAATTGAGGTCTTGAAATGTTGATCTTGTAACGAGAGTTGATAAAATTTTAAAAACATTTCATCAAACCAGCCCGTTTCAGACAGATAACGTCAAAACTGATGGGAAAAGTGAAAGAGTAAATACATGCTGCACATGCACGATCTATGAATTAAACTCTTTTATTACGTCATAATCAATCCTTACGAGAAGAAAATTAATCATTAAAAATTGTATTCTCACAATCTGTTTAGAAATTAATAGGTAGGTAGGCATATATATTATTTTTACTATTATTATTGTCTGTGGTCGGCCTGAAAAACTGAGATGAAAGAAAAAGAATGTTGTTTTGAACGAGAAACGATGGGAGCCAAAAGCCCCGTTCAGACAAGTTTTCCTTGACAAATTCACCTTCTCGTGTTGTACAGTCACAAAGTTTTCCTTGACAAGTTGACCTCGTGTTGTACAGTCACAAAGTTTTCCTTGACAAATTCACCTTCTCGTGTTGTACGGTCACAAAGTTTTCCTTGACAAATTCACCTTCTCGTGTTGTACAGTCACAAAGTTTTCCTTGACAAATTCACCTTTTCGTGTTGTACGGTCACAAAGATTTCCTTGACAAGTTGACCTTCTCGTGTTGTACAGTCACAAAGTTTTCCTTCACAAGTTGACCTCGTGTTGTACGGTCACAAAGTTGTTTTTTGACAAGTTGACCTTCTCGTGTTGTGCGGTAACAAAGTTTTTTTTTGACAAGTTTTGTTGCTCGTGTGCACGAAATGTTGCAAAACATTTATCTCACACGTCAAGGCCGCTTTTAGTTTGCCAAAACAATACAAGTATTTCTTGTACACTTGTTACGTATTTGGAGGCCAAAATCCATGCATTCAAGAGCGGGTAAAGTGCCATTTTCAGCATTTTGGAGGCTATTTTGATGTTTAAATAACCGTTCGACATATAACAATTAGACGTATAGTCATAAACGAATCCAGAACAATTAAAATATAGGAAGATATAAAATTTCCGTTACAAGAAATGAAAATATTATTTACACGCTTGTACTGGTCAGATATTTTTCCAGGAGGGGACAGGTCCCGTTCCCCAACCCCCTCTGGCTACGTCACTGGATTAAACCGATCTTAGTGGACTGTATTGTTCTTGCACTCTTGCCCAATGGCCTCGTTTTCGTGTGGAGGCTGCAGTAAAACACGGGCAGACAACCACCTCTTCTCTTCTGTGGCTGATGACGATTAATATTAGTCTCTCGTCCGCAGAGCCAATATAGACTGTACTATTTATTGCGCTTTTCTCCCTTGGCTGTTTTCCCCATGCAAATGTTTCCAGTGAACATTTTACTCCGTCCCGCCTCCACGCCAACAAGACTGAGCGCCACATGGAAGCATGATGTGTAGATAAAAGATGGTCTAGTACCGTATATGGGCCGACTGACTAATGTCATTACGTACATTCATTGCTATTACTAGCTATCGACCCATTTTGCCAGCGTAGGTATAATGACGACTATATAGAAAGCTTCGGATTAATCGGGATACAACTACCTGAAAAATACAACCAGAACTTCATTGCATGTATACATAACTATAGAGCGCAATCAATTACAGCATGCCTAATTGTCTTGTGGTTTTTTGTTCACTCGGCTGTTACTTGTTGCCTACAGTAATTTCTGTGATATTCATATATCGAGAAAAGTTCTGCTGTTTTGTCTGTTTTGACATTTCATTCGCGGAAAATACACCTACTGGAAGACTTAACAAGCTGTTTGTCTATTTCCAATTAAATTATCCCACTCAACTGTTTGTGGGAGGATGATCGGTCGATAGTTTGCATTATATTACTAGATGATGCGTGCAAAAGCTTTACAATTTATAATAAATAAACGTGGCAAAACAAAGTATAGTTATCATTCAAAACTTTTACATAAAATGACACGTAGTTGCGGGACTCAAACTCCTGAAAAATATAGCATTAATTTCGACGTTTCGAGCAAAGCCAGCGCGTCCTGCGATTCCTCAAGTGTATCTATTGTTAATGCATCTCTATCTACACTGGAGCCCATCCACACTCTGAACTTTTGGACAGTTTATTTTAACGGCTTTCTAAAATTTCATAAGAAATCTGCCATTATTATTACAGTAGCAAAGTGCTGATTTATCCAAGAAATCTTGTAGTTTATTTTTATCATTTCCAGCCGTTTTCAGCTGCGCTATCGTATTCAGCTGCGCTATCGTTTTCAGCTGCCCCATCGGCGTTACCCCATCACATGATCAAATTATCTCCCGCATCATTTGAGAGTCAACTGCAGATACATGCACTATTGTCTTGCTACAAACCTGAAACAGTCTTGCTTTGCCAGGTAAGACATTATTATGTGCATGATCTATCCATTTTTATAGTAGGTTGACTAGACTTTATATAACGTTATTTTATAGCTTATTTTCTTAGTCAAACCAACATCATTAAAACAGCACAATCACGTATCTATTATATTTACAATACATACAAATTGTTTTTGCTTGTTACATGTAAAATGACTGAAATAAATTGTACTAACATATTTTATTACAATAATGAATGATTCCTAATCTAACATAAGGATTATTTAACAACATTATAACCTTTTGATCGACCGAATAATAACATTCATAAAAATAATCTAAATTTGAAATGCTTCAATTTCTCGTATGGCGGTTTGCAGTTATTACTATGGCGCCCAGTTGTGCCAGTTTAGACTCTTATTTACAAAGGCAAACGGCAGACGTGATTATACAGCAAGTGATATCAAATTAATTTTCGAAAGCTATTCGGTGCATACTTTGTATTATACAGTAGTTTTGAATTATAGTTGTTGGTTGGAAATGGATTTTTTAATTTAACACTGAAACTCGTATTGCTGATCGACAAGGGTGGGTAGTAGCGAAGTAGTTGTACTTCGCTACTGTAGCCAACTACAATTTTCAAGTAGCCAGTAGTTTTTGACTACTTTTTTAAAACAGTAGCTGTAGTTATAGCGAACTACATTTTGCCTAAAAGTAGCCAAGTAGTTGACTACTTTTCAAACAGCGAATCGCTATTCGCTACTTTTTAAAATTGTTAGTAACTTGATAGAATAGCATGATATTGAGACAAGGTTTGCTTAAAATCAATACTCAATAGTCAATTTGCACTCTTGAACATTGTAGTGCTTACAAAAATGTTGCTTTGTGTTTACTGTTGCTACTTGTAAGTCGATTTGCTATAGGTTACATTTCAGCCTGAGTTAGTAGATGCTCCAAATACAGTAAAACTAAAAAATATAGCGTAGCGAAATAGCGAAATAGTTCGCTACATTTTTTAAGCAGTAGCTGTAGTCAGTGGCGAACTACATTTGTTCAAAAGTAGCAGTAGTTGTAGCTGACTACATATTTTTGAAGTAGCTGTAGTTATAGCGAACTACAAAAATTTTGTAGTCAACCCATCCTTGCTGATCGATTCCCGTCTGGTGTGGCGCCGGCTTGAATATTCGCCATAGGCCTGTGGCCTGAGCTTTACGCCCGTATTCTAAAAGCTCACTCACACTCACACTCAATGAGTGGAGATTCAATCTGAGCATCTCTTGAGTGTCAATGCTATTTTTGAATAACTGCAGGGTTAGTGTCGTACCTTACTATGTGACTACACACCCTCCAGCTATTCAAAAACAGCATTCACTCACGAAAAGCTCAGATTGAACCTCCCACTCATTGAGTGTGAGTGATCTTTTAGAATACGGGCGTTAGACTCGATTACAAGCATGCACTCAGCCTCCACACAGCTTTCGTAAGCCTTTGCGGACAGTCGTATGCGCGTATACTCTCTCCATGTTTAGTAGAAATTCAGCATGAAAAATGGCTTTCAAGCGTTCTGATTGGATCCCTTTAGTAGTAACTCTGAGACAATAGTTACTGCTCAGACTGCTCTGAGCAGTAACTATTGCTTTCAACATTGATGTCAGCAGTGCCGATGATAAGACGTGCCTTTTAGAGCTCCGATCACTTAAATGTTCTGTGTGTAGATTTTACAGCTTTTTAGACGTTCTCATATTTAAACTAAAGCATTTGAAGAGCAAATCAATTTGGGAAGTTATTTTCGAGAGTATCGTTCAAAACGTTAACTTAAATTTGAAAGTTTGAGCAATTTAAGATGTCGACTGGAATCATGACTAGGTCTGCCAGCCAGGCCGAAGGTTCCTTTGCCGAATTCGCTAAGATGATGGACGAATATTTAAAAAATTCCAGCATTTTCAAGGATGTCATTGTTAGTGCTGTTAACACCGCAATCGATGTCAAAATCCAACCGCTACAAGAAGAGATTGCCTCACTCAAGGATGAAGTAGCTTCGCTCAAGTCAAAATTCGTCATCGTAGAAGCAAAAGCGAATGAAAACGAGCAATACTCTCGGCGAAATAATATCAGAATTTTCGGTCTACCCGAAGCAAAGGATGAAAATTGTTATAAAATAGTTATCGATTTGTGTAAAGACGAACTCAAAATTGATGTTACTAGCGACGACATCGACCGAGCACATCGTGTCGGAAAATTAAAACAAGCTAACGCCCTAACTGTAGGCGAAGGTCAAGCATCTCCACAGCCTCGAGCTATAATTGTGAAGTTAAACGGCTATTTTACCAAGCTAAAGTTCATGAGAGGAAAAAGAAATCTTAGCGGCAAACGGATCTACATTAACGAAGATTTGACGAAAATCAATCATCGTTTATTATTGAATGTAAAAGAGTTATGTTCGCCAGGCGTGAAAGTTTATTCAGTCGATGGAACTGTCGTAGCTAGAAAGCAGGATCGCGTGTACCGTATCAAATCTATTGATGATCTCGTCAAGTATGGTCTGAATGTTTGAGGACGCCTACTACCAGAGAACGATAAGTAGCACGTTTCCATGAATACGTTTTATTATTTCCTTCCATTTTACAATGTTTATACTATCATATTCGGAATTTCCTTGCAGCGGCAGGCGAGCAGTTTAAATCTTTATTTTTGTTTGAGTTCTCATGGGAGTTAGTTTAGATTGTTATAGGGCAGCTATTGGACTTTTTAATTGTCATCTATCATACCCTATAGTAAGTTATTCGTTCATTCCTTGTATTTTGAATATATGTTTACATGTTGGAACTTTGCTTATTATTTTCTTTTTAATCTGCCCAGATGTGGAGTTAAATCCCGGTCCAGATCGCAACGTTTCGCTCAAAATTGGGCATTTGAATGTTCGTAGTTTAAATTCATCAACAAATAACTCTTCGAAATTTGATGAGATCGCTTCAATTATCTTTGAATGAAAATTTAAAGATTTTTGCAATCAGTGAGACATGGTTGAGCGCATTAGTTTCAAATGACTTATTTAATATACCTGGCTATTGTCCCTTGATACGTTTGGATAGACTCGATGGTAGGCGAGGCGGGGGTGTTGCCATGTATGTTTCGTCTGAATTTGTTCCAAGCCGCAGACACGATTTAGAGTCATCCGACTACGAAATTTTATGGGTAGAGATTAAAATCAAGTCGATCACCTTAGTATGCGGGGCTTGTTATAGGCCCCCGTGCACCGACTTTGACGCCAATATGGGATTTTTGGAGAATTTGCAAATTTGCTTAGATAAAGTTCAATTAGAATCAAATAAAGTGGTTATTTTGTTAGGCGATTTAAATGGAAATTATAATGTAAAAAATCCATCGGAAAGTGGCGACTTTGGTTCCTTATTGTATCAGTGGATGGAATGTAATAATTTATCACAAGTCATCAATGAACCCACGCGTATTACCTCAACTAGTGCCACACTTTTAGATTTGATCATTACTAACTGTCCAGGATATTTTGTAAATTCTGCCACCCTAAGCCCACCTGCTAATTGTGATCACTCATTTATTTTCGCGAAAATGAGTATTTCTTTGTCAAAACAAAAGTGTTACAAGCGCTCTGTTTGGAATTATCAGAACATTAAAGAGGAAGCTTTAAATTTAGCATTATCAAATTTTGAACTGGACGAGAGTTTGTTTAGTAATAATGTAAACATTTTATATGAAAACTGGTTTTCAACTTTTCAACAAATTGTTGAGAAACATATTCATAGAAAAGTGGTGGTTATCCGCCCACACGATAAACCCTGGATGAACAGTAAGGTCAGAAAGGCTATTAGGAAGCGATTAAACAGACTGTTAAAAAATCATTCTAGATTAAAAACGTCAGTAACTTGGGAAAAATATAGAGTACAAAGAAATTATACCACAACATTAATAAGATCAAATAAAGCGCTTTACTATGCAAATTTAAATAATAAGCTTCAGGAACCTGAGGTAAGCTCAAAAAAATGGTGGGGATTGTTAAATCTTTATATGGGCAAAAAATGCGCGAAACGGTCCCAACACTCATGGAAGGTCCAAACATAATTAGCGAAGCTAAAGAGAAAGCTGAAGTATTGAATGATTATTTTTGCAATCAGAGTACCATTGACGATGGTGCTGCGACTATTCCTAATGATATTATATCTTTCCAGTCTTCTGTCATTTTGTCAAACGTGATTGCTACCGAATATGAAATAAATTGTCTCTTACGTGGAGTAAATATTAGTAAAGCATGTGGTCCAGACGGTATAAGCAATAGAATTATCAAGATTTGCGCAGACGGTATAACCAGCGCCTTTACGTATATAGTTAACCTTTCACTGTCGTCAGGTGTTTTTCCTGAGCAGTGGAAAGCAGCAAATGTTATTCCATTATTTAAAACTAAAGTAGATCGTGAGTCAAAGTTGAATTATAGGCCGATTTCATTGTTAGATTCATTATCTAAAATAATTGAAAGAGTCGTTTTTACAAGACTTTACAATTTTTTGTTGGATATAAAATTCTTAAACCCATTGCAATCAGGCTATCGGCCAGGTGATTCGACAGTAAATCAACTAGTATATTTAGTACATATAAGATCCACGAGGCATTTGAGCAAGGCAAAGATGTAAGAATGGTTTTCATTGACATCAGTAAAGCGTTTGACAGAGTTTGGCACAAGGGTCTTTTACACAAGCCTCAATTAATTGGTGTTGGGGACCCTTTATTAAGTTGGTTTGAAAGTTATTTATCTAATCGGAAACAACGAGTGGTCATAGATGGTCAGTATTCACAGTGGAAAAATATAAACGCAGGTGTGCCTCAGGGGTCCGTACTTGGTCCGTCGCTTTTTTTGATTTATATAAACGATATCACTGAAAACCTTGAATCCCATTCTTTATTATATGCTGACGACACTTCTTTGTATGATGTTGTTGACAATCCAGATACGTCTTCAACAAAATTAAATAACGATCTTATAGAAATAGAAAAATGGGCAAAACGATGGCTTGCTACTATAAATATAAAAAAGACAAAATGCATAACTTTTTCAGTTAAAAGACTCAAACCACCCCATCTCGATCTTTATTTTGCAAACGAGAAAATTTGTGAAGTTTTGCAACATACTCATCTTGGCGTCAAACTCACAGCAAACCTCTTTTGGAAAGCCCATATTGTAAGTATTTTTGAAAATGCTAATAAAAAGTTAAATATGTTAAAAGGCCTTAAATTTAAAGTGAGTAGAGACACTCTAGGCAAGTTATATAAATCACTTATTCGTCCTGTTATGGAGTATGCGGACGTATTGTGGGACAACGGTATAGCCAGTGATTGTGATCTACTTGAGCATGTACAATATGAGGCAGCTAAGATTGTAACCGGGGCAATAAAAGGAACTAGTAAGCATCGTCTCATGCAAGAAGTGGGATGGGAAAGTATGTCTACTAGAAGAAAAATCCATAAGCTTATCTTATATTATAAGATTGTAAATAACCTGAGTCCATCTTATCTCAAAGAATTACTTCCTTTACAAGTCTACGAAAGAACAAACTATTCTCTAAGAACGGTTTCAGATTTTTCTCTTTTTAATAGTCACACTGAACGTTACAAAGCATCCTTTTTTCCATCTGCTGCAAGACTGTGGAATAGTATAAACATCGAGACGCGTTCGCTAGTTTCACTCGATTTTTTTAAAAATGCTTTAGTTAGCATTTTTGACTTACCTGTTCCAAATGGCATTTATAATTTATCAAATGATAGATTTTCCTCTGTTTATCACACTCGCCTGCGCTTAGGTGCTTGTGCACTAAATTTCTACCTCTTTAAAATAAGATGTAAAGTATCCCCAGTTTGTATGTGTGGTTTTAATACTGAAACTATAAAACCTTATTTTCTTTATTGTCCAATTTTTGCTGCCCAAAGACAGAAACTGCTCTCCTCTGCTGCTCAGCTGTTTGCTGACGATTGGTCAAGAATAAACGACGCGCAAATTGTTGAAATGTTTTTGCATGGATCATCTTTATTATCATTAGAATCAAACAGAGAGTTATTTTCTCTTGTGCAGTCGTACATAAATTAAATAAAACGTTTTCATCCGCACAATTCTTGACTTCCGTCAGTTCTTTTTTCCCTCTCTTTTATTATATACTTGGCTTGTTACGAAATACTGTGTGCAATTGTAAGGAGTGAGCCCCCTAGATGAGCGCATGCGCTCTTGGGGCAAACTTCGTTTGTTTGAACAATTAAAATATGTTTAAATCAAAATGACTTGCCGAAAATCCACTTGCAAGTAATCATCGAAGAAAAAGTTGAAGAAATTAAAGCACATACTATTACTCTAAAAGCAAAAGAAACAACAATATATGGTGTTGACCATTATCCGATAGGCAAAAGCACCTTTTAGATGCCTAAAACAATTTATTTGGCAATTTAAAACCGGAAAATAACAGAATCGGGCGAGAAGGTTCCAAAAGCTGGATTCGTTTGACTCAAAAGCAGAAGAGTGAAGTAAATTATATTTAAAACGTTTGTATATATTATTATTTTTCAATACTGAATTTATATTAACACAATTAGTCACCTCAGGCTCGGTGATCACAAGACTATATTCACTTCGCAGCTCAGTGAATTATAGAGCGTTTGCGCATGACGTCACAGCCGCTATGTTGGTGTTCCAATGAACCAATCCCCAATTAACCAAAATTTTGATTTCAACCGCCTAAACAAAAATTTCATCACAGCATGAAAGAGCATCACTAAATTAGTAATATTCCAAAGTTTTGTTTTAAAATGTTGTAAAATGCGGATAATATAGCCTTGCGAAATTTGCAATTTTCAGTCATTTTCTATTAGGAGTGGGAAACGGTTGCCATTTCCCGTTTGTAATCTAAAATGACTGAAAATTGCAAAGTTCGCAAGGCTATATTATCCGCATTTTACAACATTTCGCAACGAAACTTTGGAATATTACTAATTTTGTGATGCTCTTTCAAGCTGTGATAAAATTTTTGCCTAAACTTGTTGAGTTCAAAATTTTTGCTAATTGGGGATTGGTTCATTCAAAAGAATTTTAATTAGACTCTTTTGTCTGGAACACCAACATGGCTTTTGTTGAGTTGGTCCCTAGGGAATGAGTGCAAATTAACGGTCTACAGGGTGTATAAAAAAAACGCAACCTCGGACATGCATTGTTTTAAAGACAAAAGATTTTAGGTGCCTGGGAATTTAAAATAGCACAACTGTCAAAATTACTGCTCACGCGAGTGCATAAAGCAAAATTTATGCATTTATTTAATGCGCAACAACAGTAATATGATTTATTAGCAATTCGATTTCAAATCCCAGGTGCCTAAAATCTTTTATGCTTGAGAATTGCAAAGTGATTTCTTAGGAAATTCCGAGGTTGCGTTTTTTTATACACCCTGTATAGGTTTGAAATCACCTCGTCTCCAGTTACCAATTGTTAAATATAGTCCTCAATGCTGCCATGGAACATCTTACATATAATGCCGGTTGTATACA